AAAACAAGACAGAACGTGAACAGGTCAGTATACTACTATATGCTATGGGAGATTGTGCAGATGATATCCTCACAACACTGAGAATTGATGAGGAAACCTCCACATATGAGGATGTGAAAAAAGCCCTGAATGACTATTACCAAGTTTGTCGTAATATAATAGTGGAGCGAGCAAGATTCAATAAACGAGTCCAAACACATAGGGAACCCATTGATGTCTTCATACAAGATTTATATCGCTTAGCTGAAGACTGTGATTATGGTGTGCTGAAAGATGACCTTATAAGGGACAGAATCGTTGTAGGAGTTTTAGATGACTCACTGTCAGACCACCTGCAAATGAAATTAACCCTTACTCTCGCTATCGCTGTACAAACATGTCGTCAGGCCGAAGCTAGAAAACAAAGTCGTGAAGTAGTTCGTGGGGACACTAGTATAAAGCCAAGTAATGTTGATTTTGTAAAACACTCAACTGCATCCCGTAGAAGTAACCAGAAATATAAAGCACAGCCAAAGAAAAGTGACAAACATTGTTACAGCCGTACTAGAACACAAACACAAGATAGCTGTCGATGGTGTGGTGGTCAACGTCACGATCGTCGTATATGTCATAAATGTCAGAAATCCGGACACTTTAAAAAAGTTTGTCGTAGTACAAGACAAGAAAGCAGTAAAATAAACGAGGTACACAACCTTGAAGAGATATAGATTCCATTTCTCGGAGAAGTATATGGAAGTGATGACTACTGGAGTGCAGAAATAAAGGTAAACAAACATGACACACACTTCAAATTAGATACTGGTACTACAGTGTCAGTCATTAGCGACAAATTACCATGGCTGAATGAGGCAAAACTGAGTTCAACTCATCAATCGCTTCGCGGACCAGCAGGTACCCAGCTTCCAGTAATCGGTACATTCCGAGCTACGCTAGTGTACCGTGAAAATAAGAGATCCGAGACTGTTTATGTGATAAAGAACCAGGCATGTTCATTACTCAGCAGGAATATGTGCGTTCAACTAGGACTTATCTCACATGTTGATGAAGTGGGAAAATCAGACCCAAACACACCAACCAACTTCAGAGCAGAATTCCCAGCATTATTCAAAGGTCTAGGCAAGTTAAAGTCTGAATATCACATAACACTTTGCGCTGACCCAGAGCCAGTATGTCTGTATACACCGAGAAAAGTACCACACCCATTACTGCCCAAAGTGAAGACAGAAATTGAGGCAATGCTACAACAGGGAGTAATTTCTCCAGTAACTGTGCCAACTACAGTACAGTTCTCGTGGAAGCTTTGGCTTTTGTGGCATCATTGTCGCATACGCATGGCTTCACTGTCCCTCAGCATCGCATCATTGTGGCATCAGCTTCGTGTCATTGAAAATTGAAGCGGTGTTAGCCTCGCTTTCGTGTGGCATCATCGTGGCCCCAGTTTCGCGGTCTCATGGCATCAACATGGCATCAGCTTCAAAGTATTGTGGCATCAGTATGACGTACCTCATTATTTGCATATAGAAAGGCAGTAGAGAAAAAAAATGTACAGAAGATCGATATGTAATTAATTTGAAATTCACGCGATGCAATCTTTGTTCGGACACAACACAACTTACTACTATATACGAAATGAAACTGTTCTTGTTATAAGATTATCTTATTTTCGTTA